TACATGGGAAACAGAAACATGGCTTTGCAATCCTTTATGCAGTTCATTTTTTAAAACATTAGTTCTGAACTCTATCTCCGCTTTTTTCCTTAGAAAAAGTTTCTCGAAAGAGAGTAACTTAAATTTGTAAAGGAAAAGGAAAAAACCCAGAAACTCTGTGACTGAGAATTAATTTATAATATATCAAAACTTTTACATCCTTGCTTAATAGATAGAAAAGGACTGAAACCTGCTCTTGACTTTTAGAGTCTGATTTTAATTACTGTTATTTGCAAAGATGAGACAAGATAAAGTTGTACATTTCATTGGATAGGTATTTGTTAACAGAAACAATTTTTTTCAAAGTTAAATTAATTTTGGCATTTTCCAATTTAATAATTAAACATTACGAGTTACACTCATTTTAAATATATACATATAATGGTGACTTTTTTAATGCTATAGCATTGTGATTCTTTATCTCACTTTCCAAAAAGCATAAAGTTCCTTTCCCGTGTTTCCGCTAAAGATAACTCAAAGACACTAAACTTGAGTAGTCAACCTCAGATAATAAAATGTATGCTTCATTGTTTTGAGGACAGTAGCACTGCCATAACTATATGAATTGTTTTCTAGTTAATCATGTAAAACATACTTGTGTGTGTAAAATGACCCAAAAAATAACTGGGAGATATTCAGCGTATTGTTTTGTTTTTACATTTGGAATTCTGTATGACTGCGGTGTTTAAGTCACTGTGTGTGGTCTCATTCTTTCCATGAACATAATGCAAACTGGTCTTCTTCCCTTATTTTTACTTTTCCCTCTTTGGTCTTTGCTGTTTGCACTAGGTCAAGGCAAAGTCTGATCTGATCAATTGCCTCTGTAAGACCAGTGTCCTGTTAATGTAAGTGAAGGAAATAGCAGAAGGAGCATGAAGCCTTACGTTTAATCGGCGCCCTTTCTTGAATATCTTTTTTAAAAGTTGATCTGTTGATTTCCTCAGAGAGAGAGAGAGAGAGAGAGAAAGAGAGAGAGAAAGAGAGAGGGGGGGCGGGGGAAGGGGCCAGCTGCACGTTAACACCACAATCCACCCCCAGTCTTAGCCAGCCGCAATTCTGGTCACGAGCCTGCCTGGCATGTTCAGGAAGGTCTGCAGATGAGAACCCCGGTCTTTTAGGAGTGGCTCCGCCTCACAGAGCATCATGCTTTGCCACTGCCACAGCACAGCCCCTGGATTTTCTTTCCGGTGGGAAATAAGACATGAATTTTCACTTGCAACTTTCTATTATGTATTTCCTCATTTTATATCAGAGGCCTCTCAGTGGTGGCAATAGTGACCCCTGGCTATGCAATATTCGGTGATAAACTGCTTTCTGGTCTTTTCCTCATCTTACTTGCCTTATGTTACCGTGTAGAGAGTCTCAGCATCAATTGGGTTGTGTCCTTAGAGGTGTGGCGGTTGGAGAAATAGGGGAAAAAGCTCAGAGCTTTCCAGAGGACTTTCTTACAGTTTTAAGTCTTCCTGGAATCTCCTAGAATTGCGATTAAACACTGATAAAGTTGTATGTAGTGACTTTTATTGTCCTGTATATAACGGTACTTAGTGTTTGTTATTAAATATTTTCGTGACTGTAAATATAGACATGTAAAGGCTGCTTTATTCTTTGCTCTCACTTTCTTCCCCTGAAATTTGAACTCATCTAGCTAGATTAACTCAGCATTACAGTAAGGATTAATTTCCTAATAGGAATGTGAAATGCTTTGAAGTTATTAACCATTTTATTAATGAGTAGCTTTTATGTAAAGCTATGTCCACATGGCTTGATTTATGTTTGAAGTGTGTGTCCCTGTTGTCTATACAGTTCTATTTTTCTCCCATGAAGTTTCAGCATTCTTTTCTTGGAGCTCTGAAAGATTTCAGATCTATTTATAGAAACGAGAGACATATTTTAGCCTGTTTTATATCTAGTATGTAGCTAATCCTAGTATATGGAATTGCTATGAATTTGTGATCATTACTAATAGATTAGGTTTTGTCTTTTACATGCTCTAAATGGAAATTTTAACAATAAGTTGTGCTTTTGCATTTGCATTGTAATTGTCAGTTTAGTTAATGATATTAACATGTACAAAAGGATAAAACAAAATGTAACAAAACTGGATAGGACTTTTTATTGATTATTATTATTCTTAATCTTTTATTATATAAAAATCCCTTTCTCAGAAATTCAAACCTGAATGGAGAAAAAGTAATCATTGACAGGCATAGCTTTGAAGATTAACTCCTAAATTCTTAATTTTAGAATAATTATTTTAATGACTTTAGTATAAAAACAAAATGGATATAGAACAAAATACATACCTCATTTCTGAAATTGAAATAAAGAATAGCAGGAGGCCATTTGGAAATTTATACAACTTGTATGCGTGTGTGTGTGCGTGTGTGTATGTGTATATGTATGTTTGTGTGTGTGTGTTTATATATATGTATATATACATTTAGACTGCATTGGAAGGTCTCTCAGAATCCACTATTAAAACACAGTGGCAGATCACTTGTTGAAACCCAAGACAGTAGTAGGAAACAATAGAAGAAAGAAGGATGGAAATTTTAGGGAATGGGCAGGAAACTAAAAATCAAACTGTCTTCTCCTTCAGGAAGGACTTGGGACCAGCAGATGGTGTAATAGTTATGTTGTTGCACTCCCACATGACTGACCATGGTACAAGTCTCTTACCTGGTGATTTGAAACGCATGCAGGTGTGTATGCGGAGTGGAGGAGAAAGGATTGTGGCATGGCCATTCCCCCCTGGGGGGGTGATTGCTTGCTTTCTGTATCTCTGGTGGCACACACACCCTATAGCAAAAATCTCTCCAAGAAAAGTAAAAAGAAAGGATGTTAGCTTTGTGATAGCCGGCTAGTGTGGTTGTTCTTATCATCTGTTACACAACATGCTGATCTGGATTCCATTACTTGGTGGGTTGATCATGTCATGGGCAAAAGGCAATTGTTTTTCACCAATATTTTCTAATCATGCAGTGTTCTTCTCATCTTTTAACCAGGGATCACTGTCTTTTTGTAAAGCTGATCTAGCTTTTAAAACCCTTTAGATCTTTCTTGACCTTACTGTCATTATGAAAAATTCAAGGAGGATTAAGAAGCTGGAGGAAAAAAAAATTAAAAAGAAAATATTAAAGAGTTAGGTGCTGATATGGGAGAGAAAAGGCATTTGGTGTAACCGTTTTAAATATAATTTTAAAAGGAAGTTATCAGAATTTTGACACTTGGAATGTTAAAGTTTAATGGGAGTATGCTTTGCACTAATTTGTATTTAAATCTGCAATCTCTTATGGAATGTAGCCTATTTGTTAAAATTTGAGGTTTAACAGGTGTAAGTAAATACTTGTAAGCAGAAGCCCCAGATGCAAATCCATCAATATAGAGAAAAACATGAGAAAATATGGGTTACTAGTACATTTTAAAGTTTGGATTTCTGTAACTTCTATGAATTTTTATAGAAGCAAATATAATCACTCTCTACAACCTAGTATGTTATTTATATATACAGTAAGGTAAATAATACTGAAATAGGCATTTTCTTTAATAAAAATAGGTATTCTTTTTAATAAAAAATAAATATCAGTTTACTTTTTTTTTAATTGAACTTTTTTTTTTTTTGAGAGAGGTTTTTGCTATAGGGCGTGTGCGCTCGCCAGACAGAGAGAGAGAGACAGAGAGACAGAAAGCGAGAAATCACCCCCAGGGGGGATGGCCACGCCGCAATCCCTTCTCCTCCATTCTCCTCACGGGATCTTGGGCACGCACGCACGCACACGCGCCTGGCGTGTTTTAAGCCACTGGGTTTGTGACTCGAACCGCGGTTGACTACATGGGAATCCAGCAATATAGCCATTATGCTAACTGCTGGTCCCTAATTTAACATTTTTTTAACCAGGGTCTTGCTATGTCATGATCTTTCTGCCTCAGCTTCCAAAGTAATTGAGACTACAGTCATATCATGGTTGACTGGTTGACTTTTTTTTTTTTTTTAAGAGTGTTTTGACATAAGGCTTGTGTACTTGCTGGAGAGACAGAGACAGAAAGCAAGTGTGTGTGTGTCCAAAATTCCATTCTCCTCCTGGAATTTTGGAGACACACACACACACACACACACACACGTGTACACGTGCCTGGCTTGAGTTTCAGGTCACCTGATCCAGGACTTGAACCACAGTTGGCCCTATGGGAGTCCAGTGACACAACTGCTATGCTATCTGCTAGTTCCATCCACACTTGGATTTTAAGGTGGGCCAGTAATCCTAGGAATCCAACCAGGGCCTCAGCCTCCCAAGTAGCAGTGGATTCTGACTGCCCTAACCACCCAGGCCACAGAAAGGCCCTGATTTCTTTTTAAGGACTAAGTGGTTATGTAGGTTGACTTTCTCTTCTCCATAGAAGATCTTTCATTGTTCTCTGGAGAGCACAGAAATGAGAAATGCCAACTGACTTAATAAAATTATAACACTAAGATAAGAGTATCGACCATTTCTATTTTCCTGGACCATAGTTTAAATAACCTAGTAAAAATAAACTTAGTTGTGACATTTTAAAATCGAGAAATATAATTATCCACATTTTAGTATTAAAACAAAATAGCTTTTTTGCATTTTTTTTTTTCTTAATGGCTATAGGCTGAGCGTGCTTGCTGGAAAGATACAGAGATAGAGACAGAGAAAATGAGAGATCACATCCCAGGGAGGATGGCCACACTACAATCTCTTCTCCTCTATTCTCCTCTTGGGATTTTGGGCATGCTTGCACACGTGCCCAGCATGTTTTTCACGCCCAGGGCCCCGGGCATGAATCACGGCCATGTGGAATCCAGCCACCTTAAAAACTATGCCAGCAGCTGGTCTGGATTGTTGCATTTCTAAAGGAAATAATTTCTCCATAAAGTGGCCTTCTCAGTTTGTAATAAACATAGGTTTTCAATCCTGTATACTTTTGTATTTTAACAGATTCCTCCTGCATGGAAAAACTACTTTCAAAAGATTGGAAGGAAAAAATGGAGAGACTAAATACCAGTGAACTCCTTGGAGAAATTAAAGGTAAAATCTAAAAAACATATTAAATAAATCAATGCAGAAATTTTATTTCATATAATAATATATTTGCTGATCTTATGTGCCATAACTAAATTCTCACCTCTATCACTTGACTGTATATGAGAGGGTGAATATCTGTAGTGTGTCCCTGCAGTTTGTTTTGTATGATGTTTACAGAATAAAAGCATTACCTACGTTGGCCTAGTCTATTTCAAATATGACCTATAGACTACAGAGTCTCATGAATTTATTTGATAAAAGAAATTTATGTTAAAAAGTTGAAGAGCAAATTATGTTGAAGATAAACTTAGTTTTTCCTCTTAAAATAGTGAAATTAGCATCGTTTTTGAGTCCGATGTGTTCATTTGAATTTCTTCAGATTTGATCCCAAAGGAGTCATCTTTTTGCCCCTGTAAGCCTGTAGTGCCTTTAAACAAGTTTGAGGAATGTGTTACCATATATAGGTGGACTCGGAGTGCTTTGTCCCCTAGTAGATGGATGGATGGTGGTTTCAGGCAAGCCACTGAATTTTTCTGCTTTACATTCTTCATTTCTACAATTGGAATAATAACAGCACCTACTTCAGAGACTCAGGAGGAGAATTAGTTCATGTAGTATCTGACACTTAAGAAAGTACTTATGAGTGCTTTTCATATGCCCAAGTGATCATAGGTTAATTAATCTCAGACTTTCATAGGATTTACCATTTCATGTCCTCTAGCTAAAGGGGGATGATTATATTTATTTTTAAATACATGTAATTGATGTTACTTTTTTTTTGGAGAGGTTTTTGCTATAGGGTGAGTGCACTTACCAGAGAAATAGAGACAGAGACAGAAAATGAGACATCACCCCCCAGGGGGCATGGCCACACTGCAATCCCTTCTCCTCCTTTCTTCTCTCCGGATCTTGGGCATACACACACACACACACACACACACACACACACACACACGTGCCTGGCATGAATTTAACCCACCAGGTCCGGGACTCAAACCACGGATGACTACATGGGAGTCCAGTGACATAGCCATTACACCTACTGCTGGTCCCGATGTTACTATTATCAAACATTTTAAAAAGTGTACAATCCCAGTCCATTCCAGTATTAAGTTACTTTACCAGCCAAAAAATTATACTTCTTGCCTAACCAAACTCTCTTGTTAGTTCATTTATGAAGTACTAGTTGTTTTGTATAATGGATGAAACCCATGGTCATTCCTTAATTCTCTCAATGGTCCCTTATAGACAGTCCTCCCTGTAACTGCACTAACAATTAGGTGACTTAATTACATTAGCTTTCTAAATTTATCAAGCAACTTTCGGTAAATATTTCTATTAATTTTGGATAATATCTCAGTTAACAAGAAAATTTGGCAATAGGTGTCTGATGAAAATGTTATTCTGAGTTTACTACAGAAAATTGCCCACTGTTTAGGCAGTGTTCTGTTCAGTTCAAATAACAAGGCAATCATCTTTTCCTGATGAATAATTAATAATTCATACCATTAACTAATACAGTTTTAAAAATCAAGTGGAAATTGGATATTATTTTGAATTTGACTGCGTCTGTTTTGTACTCATAAAGGCCATTTGCTATTTTGGAGGGAAAAAAAAAAGAAACTCAACTTATAACTGATGGGTAGAAAGAAAGTCATTAGTGACATATTCTCTATCCAGCTGCAATAGCATGGGGCGTGCTACGTTGCACGTCATTCTGTGTTCTCTTCATTTCCAAAGTCATTGGTTTTCCAACAGCGAGAACAGAAATGGTTTATGCAAAGGCAAGCTTCGCCAGCATGAAGGAGGCGGGGTCTTTCTTTCTCTTATTGATAGGGAAGCTAACATTTTATTTTGTCACGATTCAGTGTCGAATTTTTATACTTCATAGCATTTTTTCTCCCACTTTTCATCTTTAAATTTAATTCTAGTTATAAATTTAAAATTCAAAAAGTGCGCTTGCTTTAGAAACTCAATACATATAAATCTCAAAAGTGAAACACATGCAAAATTAGGTTTTTCAAACTCTTTTGTTTTCTGGATCTTTTATATATGTTAACTTTCATTTGTAAGAAATAGAAAATAGAAAAACACATGAAGGAAAATAAAACTATTCTTTAATTCTACTTCTGTCTTAGTTTATTTCTTTTCAATTTTAACATATATATATATATATATCCATAATTATATTTATATATATATATATATATATAATTTTCTCCCATAATATTAGAATCATTGATTATACCATCCTTTTGTAATCACTTTTATATTTAATATATCATGAATTTCCCTGAGATTAGGTAATCTTCTAAAATATTATTTTTATTTATAGAAAATATTACTTAAAGTGAAGTTTTTATAATTAAACTGAGTCTTATATTTTATTGTTGTCGATATAAAGAGCACCTTGAGCATGGATACTTTTTCATTAGGACTTTTAAGTTTATTAGTGGTTATTTGCTTAGGATGTAACTTTAAAAGTGAAATTCCTGGACCAAATAGAATGCTTTTTTTAAAAAGGCTTTTTGCTTCCTATTGCAGTTACCCTTTAAGAGGGTTATAGTATTTTATGTTCTCACCAGCAGCAGCTGCAAGTGCTTCAATAACAAGTATTATTACTTAAAAAAAATTTTGTCAGGATCAGCCGATGGCATAACGGTTACATTGCTGGACTCCCACATAGTCAACCGTGGTTCGAGTCCCAGACCTGGTGGCGTAAAACTTACGTGGGCATGTGTGCATGCATGTCCAAAATGCTGATAGAAGAGTGGAGGAGAAGGGACTGTGGCATGGCCATTAACCCTGGGGGGTGATTTTTTGTTTTTTCTTTCTGGCGAGCACATGCACAATATAGAAAAAAAGGCTCTCAATTTTTTTTTTCCAATTTGATAGGAAAAAATAGCCTATCATTGTTGGTTTAATATTAATTTATTTGATTACCAGTGAGAATGAAGAACTTTACATAAATTTATTTGCTGTTAAATGTTTCTTCCTTTGTGAACTAACTGTTTAAGTGGGTTGTCCATTTCTCATTAATGAACTTGTCTAGTTATTACTGTTTTGTAAGAACTCATATCTTTTAATAATATCAGTATTTGTCATGGACTTGTATGTGGTCATTTCCTTTATCTTACAGTTTATTTGTCAGCCTTTCGATCACTTTTTAAATGCCTTTTTCTATTGGGAGTTTGTTTAGAAAGGCTTGCCTCATCTTGTGATGAGATAATATTCTACTATATTTTCTTCCAATTAATTTTGCATATGTTTAAACATTTAACTCTTTCATTCCTCTTGGATATATTTTGGCATATGGTGTCAACTAGAGGTAGAATCTAATTTTGTATCATGCAGTTAATCAAATATCTATGTGTTGTTTGTTAAATAGTCCATTTTATCTCTCTGACTTGAAATATTATCTTTTATTGCATACTAATTACCTATTGGGAACCTGAGAAATGGTTCTATAACATTGATCTCCATATTTAAATATTTATTGGTAATGTGTGTGAACCATCATAACGTTTTAATAATTTTTAAAATAAGGTCGCATACTTCTCCAAAGTTTATCTGAGATTTATTTATCAAGTTGTTAATTAATATCCTACATTGATTCTTTAAAAAGAATATATTTCATTTCTATAAAGCTGCAAGGTGTACTGGCATCTTTTTATTATTGAATTTATCTTCCCATTAAAAAATCACTTATAAAATTCTTTTATGTCCCTCAACAATGTTTTGTTTTTTTAAATGCAGATTCTACACACTTATTTTAATGTTTACTCCAACATAGTTTATATTTGTGGCTTGTTCTTGTGAGTGAAATATTTTTCATTCTTTTTCTTTTTGTTACTGTTTTTAGGGATGCTATTGAATTTTGCTAATTTGTTTTGCTGTTTCACTTTTTTTTATTTTTGAGAGGTTTTTGCTATAGAGCGTGTATGTTCATCAGACAGACAGAGAGAGACAGAGAGATAGAAAGCGAGAAATCACCCCCCAGGGGGGATGGTCATGCCGCAATCCCTTCTCCTTCATTCTCCTCTCAGGATCTTGGGCACGCACACACGCGCCCGGTGTGAGTTTAAACCACCGGGTCTGGGACACGAACCGCGGTCGACTATGTGGGAGTCCAGCGACATAGCCATTATGCTAACTGCTGGTCCCACTTTTGCTGTTTCACTTTATAACTTCCCTCTAAATGAATTTATTAGATCTAGTCAAATTTCAGCTGATTTTTTTTCCCTTTTTGGTAGTTTTATGTTCCCACCTCCTTCCTTATTCCCTAGAATGTCAAAAATAATATTAAGTAATATAGATAATTGAAGGTATTTTGGTATAGTTTCAATTTATGAAATTGTTTTTAATATTTCACATTAAGTATTCTGTAAACTACTGATTAAGATATTCTTTATCATTAAAAAAAATGCCATTCTATCCTTTAAGAAATTTCTATTGGAAATTGCATTTTTTTGGTTTGTTTTTTGAGAGGGATTTTTGCTATAAGGCATGTGAGCTCTCCGTAGAGATGAGAGAGAGAGAGACAGATAAAAAGTGAGAAATCACCTCTGCTCCACCCCTGGGGATGGGTACATTGCAATCCCTTCTCCTCCATCCTCCTCTTGGGATTTTGGGCTTGCACCACATGTGCCCGGTGTGAGTTTTAAGTCACTGAGTCAGGGATTCAAACCTCAGTTGACTATGTGGGAGTCTAGCAACATAACCCTTATACCATTGGCTGGTCCTAGAAATAGCATTTTTTTAATGGCCTATCTCATTGGTGTTTGTTTTTAAAAGTATTGATGAAATAAACCCCCAATTAACTATGGCATAGTCTTGTTTTAATGTACTGCATAATATTTGCTCATATTATAGTTACTTTTTACACCTGTAATCACAAATGAAATTTGTTTGTATTTTTTTTAATGTATACTCTGTTTGTTAATTTTTAGTACCAGAGTTCAAAACTGAACTGAAACGGAAACTTTTCCTTCCTTTCGAGGATA